AAGAGAAGAGAAGAGAAGAGGAGTTTTTGCCTCAAATACTCAAATTAGGAATTTTTGCCGAACAAATGTCCAGGCACTATCATTTTTGTCTATCTCAAACAATGTATTTGCAAAATAACCACTTGACACACAACATCAATGATTCAAAAGACAAAATAATTAAGTGGGCTACATTAAAAAAAATACAATTATTTGTATCACTGGAAAAATTACTGACAAAATCACAACCCAGGTCCCAAAACAAAAGATGATTTTGAACCAAAATGTAACTCACTTTGTCTGCTTCAGAATGAAGTTAATGTTGGCAATTCATATTATAGGATTCATTGTTATTATAATCTTACTTGCTTTCTTCAGAATTTGATGGGAATATTGATATCACTCTTGTATCTGACTTTAAAATTGAGCTACAGCCAGCTGCAGTTATGGTAGCCTAGTATAAAGACTGGAAACGGGGAAACAGCTAGCCTGGTTCTGTCCTTCCGGCACCTCTAAACCTCACAAATTAATGTGTTATGTCTTGTTTGTTTCATCTGAGTGTAAAAACAGAACTGTTGGATTTATAGGTTATGTATGGAATTATTTCTTGGTTGGGTGCAGCCAGGCAACCAGTAGAGACTCCAGGTATGGAATAAACAAACGTATTGTCTACTGTCTATCAATTTTCCAATCTAATTCTTGTCTCATTTGTGGTAGGAAAACAGTACAATCATCAAATTCAGTGGCCCATATTGGGATTGTCCAAGTTTAGTCATTTCACCGAGAGCACACCGGCAAGAGGACGAAGCGATGTTAATGCAAAGCTACTCTGGTGGAGTCTCCGATAAAGAATATAGAGCTGGAAATGAGCATAAAAGGTCCCCTCTAATGGTAACATTTTGTTACACAAACATGCACACATAGCAAGGCATAAAGACACTCAGATTTTTTTGTTTCCATAACTCTAGTCCTCCAAAATCTTCACTGGTTATCTGTTGTTTTCAGAATAAAATTCTAAATCTGCCTCTTGGTTTACAAAGCATTTGCTGATCTGGCTCAACAGTACATTTCAGACATGCTGTCAGTTTATAATCCCAGCGGATCTCCTCTGTCACAAGGTGGGAAACTCCTCCATGTGCCGTGGGCACTTTCAAAGTCATCCTATTTGTACACTTTGTTTATTTGTATCGGTGTCTTTATGTGCATGTATTTTATTTTGTTCTTATGAAACACACTTTGAACTCCTTTTGTATGAGAAGGTGCAATACAAATAAAAAATCTAATTTAAGGTTTATGTTCACACAGTCATTTAGCTTAGACTGAATGACCTAATGTCTCATCTTCCGGGACAGGGATCAGACTCCAAACTATGACACAGTTTGGCACGGACCTAATGAATATTAATGAGTGCAGGTTACATGCAATGCTAATCTGCATCTACCGAAAAGGTCAAGATGGTGTAACACTGTTTGTTTAACATACGGTAAAAGGTGATGTTTATTTTAAAAACTTCTAACAAAAGTGCAGATTTAAATCCGCATAAAATGAAGAAGTGAAACAGATGAATACTTTACCATTGGGGCTTTCTTCATCTATGGCAACAATGGTAGCAGGAGGACCCGACCGAGACAGTTTACATTCTGAAAAAAAAAAAAGAAAAAGGGAAGATTTAGAGTTAACATTGGTACCTCCTAGAGTTTCTATACCTGAAAAATAAGTGGCTGCTGCAATCACTCTGTCAGAGTGTCTTTTTGAAATTGAATTGCACTCTATCTACTGTATCTATATAAGTGTGGCTATGAGTGGTAACAGCAAAGAACTGAAAGGAGTGACAGTGAAAATAGGGGAAGAGTGGAGAAAAGGACTGAGGTGTAAGGGGTTAGCGGAAATAAATTAAAAAAAAATGGAGTGTCCAGACAGAAGAAAATGATGATGGACAGGGAGTCACTCATTTTAGAGAAAGAGACAAAGACAAATAGAAAAAGTAAAAAAAAACTAAACATAGAGCAGCTAGGAAATGCTGAAGAGAATTAAAAAAAATACATACACAAATAAATGTTAAGCTTGGTAGATATAATCTAGAGCTCATTAACTTCATTGTTCTCTCTACAGTGAGAGGAAATGGAAAAAGGAATCTTATAATTGGAATGAAATGTAGAAGAAAAAGAGGTGAAGTAGAGAGGCAAAACTTGACAGTGAAGTGAGACTAAAGTCCAATTTTTCAGAGGTAACGGCAGACGTTACCCCCTACAACCATTTGCAGGGTTAGCAGGGGTTAATAAACCAGCACAGTGACTGAACACATTTAACAAAGGAAAAAAAGAAGAGATCGTTCTTACCCTCATATTGCCAATCTGCAGTTCGTGATAGCCACATCCCACCAGGAAGGAGAGAGGAGAAGAAGGAAGGTAGTCAAGGGGATAATAGGAAGGAGGAAAAAGCAGAAGGAAAAACTCATGAAACATAAGAATTAACCTCCTCTGAGCAAAGCAAGGCAGCGACCAATAGAAAAGGGAGAGTGGGGAGTCAAACATGAAATGCAGTAAGAGGGTTTGAAGTTTTGGAAAAGAAGGGGCGAATACGAGCAAATAAGAAATATTTTTTGAGGTGTTTGTGTTTACATGTACAGTATACAAATGTGGATGTGCTTATCTATAAGCTTTTCACAGCCACCAACTGCACTTACATTACTATAAGGAGAAATAATTTTAACCCAAGCTGGAGGCTTAAAATGGTCCCATTCAGTGGGAAAAAACCGCATTGACATTCAGGGATTCTCCTTTATCCTTCTGTCCTTGCGAGGATACAGAAATACAAGAACACCCACATTCACCAGACAGAGCGACATTATTGTACAGCTCCCAAGGATGGTTGGGAAAAATCCCACAGGGAGGCTGGAAGACGGATATCTGCTCACCTAGAAAATAAACTTCATGGAACAATGATCACACTTTCTCTATCTCTCATTCTGTCTTTCTCTCTCTCTTTCTCTCCATAATTAAGCATTACAACTGTGACATCATAGATTATCTCAGGATTCATTGGTATTGTGTCTTGTTTCTTGCTAAGGGAGACGGTATTGAATGTTCCCAAATATAGATTAAACTGTCCTAGGGCTCTGAATTAGCTTATTATAGTGCTGAAAATGAATGATTGGTTTTCCAATTTGTCATGCAGAGAAAGAGGCAAAGAAAAAAGCTCATAAAAAGCTCATAGAAGTGCTAATTTAAAACTGACCCTCAAACCAAGCCAAACACATTACTTTGTGTAGGAATGGAAGTTGTATAAGTGTTTGACAAATATGTGAAAACTGTACCTATATTCATAGTTAGTCAACAGATTCTGCATTTATCAGCAACAAGCAGTTGTTCGAGCTAGGGTTCTGATTCTGGTTAACCTGTCAAACCCCACTTCTTAACGCTTGAAAACAACCTTTATTTTCATCCTAAATTGGAATTTCCAGCTCGCTACGCACTGCAGTTCTTATTGTTGCTAACCTGTTAGCAACCTGACCATGCTATATTTACATCGCTGCTGCGGAAAAAAAATCCTTTTACTTTTTAGAGTTTTAATTTGCAGTTTATGATACATTATTTATAAAACGTGACGGAATTACCTTCAATTACCGTATTATGTTTTTTTTTTCCCAATCCAGGATCCAGCAGCATTTATCATTCTCACACTGCAGAAGTTGGGGAGAATGGTTAGGTGTACAAAGCACAGGACTTTGACACCAATGACTGGGTTTAATTTTCTGCGTCTCACATGTTGTCAGGTTTAAATGAATAAATGTTGGCAAGAGTAGACTGCGATTTTGATTAAATGCATTTTTGGTTTTTAGCAAGTGGTAACTGCAGAAACATAGTAAGGCAACCAGTGGAGATGCTGCATGGAAGTGCTAGGCAGATGGATTAACTGTGTTTGTCAAGGAATAGCTAGACCATTTAACACACTCTAAAACCCCAAACTGACGTTCTTAGATTACTGTTTTGTATGAATTAAACAAACAAGACACAATGCGTTAATTACTGGGGTTTAGTACTTTGGAGAGAGCCAGGCAAGCTGTTTCACCCTGCGTCTATTCTTTATGCTAAGCTACATAAGCTTTGTATTTAATGAACAGTCATGAACAGTCAAGAATTGTGATGATCTATTTATCTCACTCTTCGAAAGAACACAAATGAGCATATTCCCCAAAAATGTCACCCTCAAACCATGTGATTTGAGTTGTATAAACTATTAAACTGCTTTTAGTTGCCAGGTTGGGGTATTGTAAGGAAAACAAATGCACTATGTTGACAGTAAACATTTTGCAGATTCCTTCATTTCCATTGCCAGCATTATTTTCTCTTCAAAACATACTGAGGCCAATGTGTTAATCTAGTTTTTAACGGACTAAGTCGTGTCAGTGCCACAATGTGTGGTCATTCATGTTATACCTGTAGCTCCACCTCTCTGTGCAGGTTCCCCATGACAAACCAGCAGAAGTTGTCAATCAAGTGACCGGGATGTGAATTATCATTAGCTTCCAGCCACAAACATGGACTGATTGCTTGTGCTTTTCCTCCACCATCACAGTTCTAGTTGGTGAGTGAGAGAGAATTTTACCTATTCACCCTTCTGAAGCTTTTCTATAGGTGCATCTCAGGTTAGCAATACAGAAAGATGCATGAGTCATGGAACAATGGTCACTAGTTACGTCACACTCTACCAGCTGGCCTGTGTGTGTATGTGTGTGTGAACAGCAGATGACAGATGTGTATCCCCTGCTTGACTGCCTTTTTATCCTTCAGTGTAAGCTGATGCCCCTCATCTATTACTAACCAGCCATTTGTTCTCTGTGGGGCATCTCTGTCTCTTTCTCTACCCTTCGGTCTCTTCTCATCTGCCTCCCTCTCTCTACCTGTCAGTCTGCTTTCCCCCTCAAATAATAAAAATGCAATGGGATGAAACAGCAAACAGTCCCAGTTGTAATTTACAGTGACAGATGAACACGATGAGATCTCAAAATTAAATAAGTAAATTTTTTTTTCAAATCTGAATACCCAGAACGGATAGGTGATGCTAATTTAAAGTCAAATCTTTCTCTTTTTATGATACATTTGAAGACATGGTTGGCACATATGCTGCCATGTATTTGCAGAGAATTTTAACCATGTAGATAAAATAATTTAGCAGCTCCTAACTGTAATCATATGTTAAAGTAATTTCCTTTCTATGTAAGTTAACTCAAGGTTGAGAATGAAAATTCTCTGCTCTTCTTTCACATACATCACAAGCATATTTCCTCACAAGTAAACAGTACACTTGTTTTATATAAGAAATCCAATGTAAGGGCTCCTATAGCACAGTTAGTGTTCTCTTGTATGCAGATACTTGCCTCTGTTAAGTGTCTACTCATGCTCACCCTCAAAATTTACTTGCGCATTTCTTCCCTCATCGATATGTACTTGTCTTCCTGTAAGCACTCACTTATTCTTCCGTAAGCACACACTTCCCTCCTTCAAAGTTTCGGGAAAAAATAATCACTGAAATGACTTTGTGCATGAGCAAGTGTATAAATCCATCTAATGCCAGGTTTCTGTCAAGGTGATGAAAATCCCATGGGAGTTGTGTGAGGGGAATGAGGGGTAAAGCATTCAAGGTGTGGACCACATAAAAAAAGACTTAAAACTTTGAAATAGACCCCTCCATTCAGAAAATATCACAGGCAGTCAATGAAAAAAGCTTGCACTGATCAGATTTATCATCCACCCAACGCCTCTTTATTTAAACCTGTGAGTGTTTCAATCAATATCTTCTTTATTTACTATTCAAATGCTGTCCATCTAAATTTGGCAGGCAGAATAAGCAGGGTTGCCAAGGGTGGCAGAAAAAAGTCCCCATTAAGAACAAAGTCGACTAAGAAAGAAGTGAGAGCAGTGACTGTGACTGCAGCTGAAGACCACAGCAATCACCCAAGAGTCCAAACAGGCTTGAAAACAACTATTGTTGTTCAGTATACTTAGCTTAGTAACTGTCTCCATGATACAGACACATATACCCGCTGCTTAGGAACCGTTTCTTCAAGACACAACTGCATGTGCACATTCACGCCACTTTACACAGTTTACACAATGGAGCCCGTATACCTGTCTGCAGTCACACACTCACACATGCTCGAGTTACTATAAAATATACATGCTGAGACTGTGACTCAACGGCTCAGGCAGCTGGATAGCGCTGATTGTGTGTTTATGTGTGTGTGTGTGTGTCCAATGGATGCGTAGAATGAGTCACTCCACAGAGAAAAGCTGCCACGCTGCCTACAGCTGAGATATTAACATTGACTTTAAATTAAATTAAAGGAATAGAACAACATTCCTTGAGCCGCTTCAAAATTGCAAATTACTGTTTTTACACTTTGGTTTTTGTACAAATTAAACAGACAAGATATATAATTTTAATCAGTGTGATTTAGAGCCAGGGTTTGGACAGAGCCAGGCTAGCTGTTTCCCCCTATTTTCAGTCTCTATGCTAAGCTAAGTTAGGCTAATCAATGTTGGCTTTTCTCTGCAAGAAAAAGAAAAGGAGCAATTCCAAAATGTCCAGCTGTTGCTTAAAGGTGGGAAAAGCAATACTGGAGAAATGCAATACCATGACAGATACTCTGATATAGTGCAAACAAGGACCCAGAAAGTAATGTAACTAACATTAGATATATAGTGGGTTTGCAAACTGTTGCTACAGTTGCTGCTGCGTGAATCACAAATTTCCTGCTGCTATAGCTTACATTAGAATAACAGCATATCTTGGCAAACTGGAAAGTAAGCTGAATGTCCGTGGGCAAGTCATTTAATATTACCTGATTAAAAAGTTATATGGCTCGGTCAGGGCCACTTCGTTTGTTTCCCATTTACAGAGCCAGGGCTGTGTACAAACACTAGATTTGTCTTCACCGCACACACATAGTGGGAAGCTAGCAGACCATGAGCTGATATTTGCTGAATTTGAAAAAAACACTGTATTGGATTAAAATTGTATTACCTAGAATAATTACTCCATCTTCAAAGCCAACAACTAATTGTTTACTGTAGGCTTGTCTATACTTTTCTACCATGTACTAGAAAGTATTTCTGAGGATTGACATGTATTTGGACAAAGTTAAGTAACATATGTTTGGCACAGCAGTGGAACATAGTGGGCTATAAAATGCCTGGGGAAACTAAGGAAGACCAGAAAAACATTATAGGAAAGAAAATCTGAATACTAATCATAGCTGCGGTACATATGATCCAGTGTGAAACAAGCAGTGTGTCTGCAGAGGTTAAGTCTATGGCACAGAATCAGACGATATGGACTAGTAGAAAGTATT